TCCATTGCATGCTCCTCCACATCCCTGATCAGGGCAATTCGCCAGGGCATTGTATCTGGATAGAACGGTGGGTTACGCGAAGCGTCTAGAAGCCTTGGGGCACGCTTGGGGCACTCTTGGGAGCCTTCGGGGCCATCTTGGGGCATTCTGGAGGAGATGAATCAAAGAGGGGCAGGGGGCGTACATTTATGGCCCCACCTCCCAGGAGACCAAAATTGCCCCCAAACCCATGTCAAATCAATGATTTGTGCCTTCTCGCCGAGGCCGTCTTGGACGCTCGAATGGGTCGCGGGGCGCCCCGTCCGGGTCGAGGGTGAGGGGGTAGGGGAGGGGTCAAGCTACCCTCCTAGATCACAAGCCATCCAGAGCTCACTCACCCGCCCCATCGCCGCTGTAGTGTTTGACTCAAGTGCCATTCGAGCCAGTGATACTCCCGGGTGTCAAGGCGGACCCGCCCCGTCCCAGCATCGATGTCCGACGCTGAGTTGTTTGCAGACGTCGCGCCAGTGACCCCGTCGCTGGCGAGCGACGAGCCGATGGAGGCGGACAGCAGCGATGACGCACCCTTGCGTCGCACGCAGTCTCAGGCCGTCAAGCGGATCAAGATCGACGAGGTGGCCAGGACCGTGCAGGAGCGGGACGAGCCCGTGCAGGAGCTCCGCAAGGCACTCTCGCAGCTCTGCAGGCGGCAGGCCGACGCCGATGCCGACGCCGACGCCGAGGACCTGGCCACAAGGCGCGAGCATGCTGCGGAGCAGCTGCGGCAGGTGGAGCGCCTGCAGCAAGGCTTCCGGAACTTCGGGGAGGACCTGATGGAGGGCATGCTCGCGCTGGACCGCCTTTCCGGGCTCGCGGAGGAGGACCGCGCAGTGCGCAAGCAGACGCTCCGGGGCATCCAGGGCCTCCTGGACGAGGTCGACGGCGCGAAGCCGCGCGTCGCGCAGCTCCGGAAGAGGCTGGCCGCGGAGCTGGAGCGGCTGGGGCCGGAGCCCTCTCCGGCCAGGGCGGAGCCCGAGGCGCCCCCTGAGGCGACCCCCGAGCCCGCGGCGCCCCTGGAGCCCGAGGACGCCTGCGGGCCCGCCGCGCCCGCGCCCGCGCCAGGCCCGGCCAGCCAGGTCGGAGGGCACCAACTCTACACACCTGCGGCCGATCGTGGCCAGGCCGATCCTGGGCATCTATGGTCCCCCCAAGATGGGATGGGGGACGACGACGACGACGACGACGACGACGACGACGACGACGACGACGACGACGACGACGACGACGACGACGTCCACCCGACGACGTCCACATCACCTCGTACACAGGGCCGCGACCACAAGGGGGTTGGGGTGGGGGGCGGTCCCACCCGCGAGGCCTTCGCGAGGCTCACGGGCTTACCCATCGAGCGGCGGGGGGCGGGGGGCGGAGCTCTGTATCATCAGGAGGGCGCGCATGCGCCGATCCTGGGCCCAAGGCCTGGCCGGTGTCGGTGCGGGTGCATGTATAGTTGGCGTCCTCCTGCCAGCAGCAGCGGCGGCTGCCGCGGCCAAGCGTCGACTGGAGCCGGGTCAGGCTGCCCGCGGAGTTCTCGGCGGCCGAGCGCGGCCGGGCCTACGTCCTCTCCGCGCAGCTGCCAGGCCTGGAGGCCGACAGCGTCCGGCTGGCGCGCAGGGGCGGCGGCGTGCTGTGCGTCCAGGGGCTGCGGCTGCCCAGCCCCGCGGAGCAGAGGGCCCTCGAGCGGGCGCTGGCGGCGCACCTGCAGAGGCTGCCGAGGGAGCGGCGCCGGCACCTGCAGCAGGAGGAGGTGGACGAGCTCGCGGCGCAGCTCGGCCGCGGGCGCTTCGGCCTGGTGAGGGAGCAGTTCGAGCTGCCGGGCGACGTGGACTGGGAAGGCTGGCGGCGCGCGCAAGCGCGTGTGGCGACCGCGGGGGCGTCGGCCTTCCTCAGATAGCGGGGGGCTTCTGGGAGGGCAAAAGGCCCAATGGGGCTCCCCACGAGGGCCCAGGGGCTTTCAAAAGGGCTGATCCGTGGCCAATGGGGTGGGGGACTTTGAGAAGTCCCCCGCCGTCTCAGGAGCCCCCGCCTTCTTGGAAGGCCGCCGCCGGCCGCCGCCTCCCTCTGTAACTGTGCGCGCGCCGCCGAGAAGGTGTGGAGTGCACCTACGAGCAGGGCGTACTGCGCGTGGTGCTCCCGCGCCTGGCCATGACAGCGCGAAGCTTTGGTGGCTACGGTGTTCCCGGGCGCCGACGTGCCTCGCAGCCCCGCCCTTGCCCCGGCAGGTACCCAGGACCGGTGTGCGACGGGGGGCGCCCACAGTTCATGTGGTGAGCAGTTGCGTCCGCAGTTGCCCGCTGCCGCTGCGGAGGACCGCCGCCGCCGTTCAGTGTTTTCGATCTGATGGGTATCACGGATGGTGCTATTTTCACGCGGGCCTTCCCGCTTTTTTGTCACCGCGGTGCCATATGAGTGCCGCGGGGGCTGGTAAGTATGTCCCGCGAGGTGGGATCATGGCTTGTGGACAGCCGCCATGCCTAAGACCTTCGCAAAGACCCCGCTTCTGTACAGCGCTGGGAGAACACATGCCAACAACAGCAACAACAACAACAACAACAACAACCAGAGTGACCTCGTCATCGTCGTGCACATGAGCAAAGTTGGATTCAAGAGGCGCCGCTTACGACATTCCACCGACCCCCAGAAGGGGATATAAGCGGCCTCGAATGTTGTATGTGTTGTTTGCCGCTTCACGTCGCACTGCCTGCATGCAGTTGTGAAACCATCGGGGATGCCTCTTGGGGCCCTCTTGGAGCGTTGTTACTGCCTCGTGGGCCGTCTTGAGGCCATTTCGGGATTAGTTGAAGTCTTTCCAGCGTGTTGGAGCCCGTCTTGAGCCATCGTAGGAAGCATCTGGGAGGCCAGGAGGGTGGAGTTGGAGGCTCCGAAGACCCCAGAGGTGCGCTCCCTTCAGGGCGTGTGTGGTTCAGAGCGTTTCGTCTTCCAACCCTTTAATCCCCTTCGGGGAGGGGTTTACCCTTCCCCCTACTCCCTGCCCCTGGACCTGGACGGGGCGCCCCGCGACCCATTCGAGCGTCCAAGTCGGCCTCGGCGAGAAGGCACAAATCACTGATATTGGAGCAGTTTTGGCTTTTGGGAGGGCGGGGCTATCATTTACGCCCCCCGCCCTTCTTTGATGGATCTCCTCCAAGAATACCCCAAGATTGCCTCCCAAGATGCGCCCACAAGAGGCGCCACGAGGCCCCAAGAGGCACCCAGGAGGTCCCCAAGAGGCTCCCAAGAGACCCCCAAGAGGGCCTCCCGAGTGACCCAAGACACACCAAGAGGCCCCCAGGACCACGAAGAGGCCCCAATGACGCTCCAAGAGGACTCTAAGAAGCTTCCAACGGCCATCCGAAGAGACTCCGAGAGGCATACAAGAGGCCTCTGGTCATTATGCTCGCCCTCCTCCTCCTCCTCCTCCTCCTCCGCCTTCCCTCCTTCTCCCTCCTCCCTATTCCCCCTCCCCCTCCTTCTTCTCCTCCCCCTCCTCCTCAACCTCCTCGTCGTCCTCCTCCTCCAGTTCCTCCTCCATCCTCCCCGTCTTGGGGTATGACGGCATCCCCAGCCCGTCATTCCATTGCATGCTCCTCCACATCCCTGATCAGGGCAACTCGCCAGGGCATTGCATCTGGATAGAATGGTGGGTTACGCGAAGCGTCTAGAAGCCTTGGGGCACGCTTGGGGCACTCTTGGGAGCCTTCGGGGCCATCTCGGGGCATTCTGGAGGAGATGAATCAAAGAGGGGCGGGGGGCGTACATTTATGGCCCCACCTCCCAGGAGACCAAAACTGGCCCCAAACCCATGTAAAGTCAATGATTTGTGCCTTCTCGCCGAGGCCGTCTTGGACGCTCGAATGGGTCTCGGGGCGCCCCGTCCAGGTCGAGGGTGAGGGGGCAGGGGGAGGGGCCAAGCTGCCCTCCTAGATCACAAGCCATGCAGAGCTCACTCATCACCCGCCCTCCCAACACCTAAGAAAGCTCCCGATCATCACCATATCGCTCAGGAGCGCCAGACATGCCATGCGCGCCACGGGTTCCAGGTGCACCAGGCACCCTGGAGGCCGACACGTGCTCCGCGTGCGCCAACTGTGCAACGTGTCCCGGCCGCGCCGGGTGCGCCAGCTACGGGTAAACAGTGGGGACCCCAGGTGCCTGGTGCCCCGGCCCCACAGAGTTCAGAATCTTAAATCCCCTTGGAGCGAATGCCGAGCACTCTGTGAGAAGGGCGGCCCCTCCAGGGAGCGCTAAGCAAGTTCGGAGAACAGGGAGCGCGCCTCTGTAGGAGCACACACAGAGGATGTCGCCAGCAGCGCGCAGCTTGGAGAAGCTGGAGCACACGCTCGCGGGACACAGCGTGCCGCCACGCCCCCCCCCGCCGCCCGCACCAAAAGCCAAGATGAAAAACGTGGTCGCGGGGCGCCCGCTCGTGCTTCCAGACTCGGAGGCGACGTGTATTTTCCGTATGGCCTCTGTGACAGGGACGGACGGCCTGCGCGCAGCCAGCAACATGCCGGCCCCCCCCCGCCGCCACCCCGGTCGCGGGGCCCCCGCGCACGCTCCAGACTCGAAGGCAAAGCGTACTTTTGTTCATGATTTCTATGGTTTCATGCAAGGAGTGGCGGGGGGGAGGACCCGCATCGGCCCGTGTTGGCTGGGAGTCGCCAGGGGGAGGAGGCGTTCACTGTTTGCTAGTAAGGAGCAGTGAGGAACCCCTCCCCGAAGGGGAAGATCGGGGGTGGAAGAGGAAACGCCCTAAACCACTGACGCCCTGCAGGACTGGTGGGATTGCGCAAGAGTCGGGCTCCTCGCCTGGGACTCCCTCGCAATTTGCTCAAGGGGGTTGTCGTGCCTGTAGTGGTGATGTCGGCGTGGTGCATCGCCGCTGTAGTGTTTGACTCAAGTGCCATTCGAGCCAGTGATACTCCCGGGTGTCAAGGCGGACCCGCCCCGTCCCAGCATCGATGTCCGACGCTGAGTTGTTTGCAGACGTCGCGCCAGTGACCCCGTCGCTGGCGAGCGACGAGCCCGTGCCGATGGAGGCGGACAGCAGCGATGACGCACCCTTGCGTCGCACGCAGTCTCAGGCCGTCAAGCGGATCAAGATCGACGAGGTGGCCAGGACCGTGCAGGAGCGGGACGAGCCCGTGCAGGAGCTCCGCAAGGCACTCTCGCAGCTCTGCAGGCGGCAGGCCGACGCCGACGCCGACGCCGACGCCGAGGACCTGGCCACAAGGCGCGAGCATGCTGCGGAGCAGCTGCGGCAGGTGGAGCGCCTGCAGCAAGGCTTCCGGAACTTCGGGGAGGACCTGATGGAGGGCATGCTCGCGCTGGACCGCCTTTCCGGGCTCGCGGAGGAGGACCGCGCAGTGCGCAAGCAGACGCTCCGGGGCATCCAGGGCCTCCTGGACGAGGTCGACGGCGCGAAGCCGCGCGTCGCGCAGCTCCGGAAGAGGCTGGCCGCGGAGTTGGAGCGGCTAGGGCCGGAGCCCTCTCCGGCCAGGGCGGAGCCCGAGGCGCCCCCTGAGGCGACCCCCGAGCCCGCGGCGCCCCTGGAGCCCGAGGACGCCTGCGGGCCCGCCGCGCCCGCGCCCGCGCCAGGCCCGGCCAGCCAGGTCGGAGGGCACCAACTCTACACACCTGCGGCCGATCGTGGCCAGGCCGATCCTGGGCATCTATGGTCCGGGGTCGAGGGTTCACAGGCCCCCCCCCCAAGATGGGATGGGGGACGACGACGACGACGACGACGACGACGACGACGACGACGACGACGTCCACCCTCCATCACTCCACTCCACGTACACAGGGCCGCGACCACAAGGGGGTTGGGGTGGGGGGCGGTCCCACCCGCGAGGCCTTCGCGAGGCTCACGGGCTTACCCATCGAGCGGCGGGGGGCGGGGGGCGGAGCTCTGTATCATCAGGAGGGCGCGCATGCGCCGATCCTGGGCCCAAGGCCTGGCCGGTGTCGGTGCGGGTGCATGTATAGTTGGCGTCCTCCTGCCAGCAGCAGCGGCGGCTGCCGCGGCCAAGCGTCGACTGGAGCCGGGTCAGGCTGCCCGCGGAGTTCTCGGCGGCCGAGCGCGGCCGGGCCTACGTCCTCTCCGCGCAGCTGCCAGGCCTGGAGGCCGACAGCGTCCGGCTGGCGCGCAGGGGCGGCGGCGTGCTGTGCGTCCAGGGGCTGCGGCTGCCCAGCCCCGCGGAGCAGAGGGCCCTCGAGCGGGCGCTGGCGGCGCACCTGCAGAGGCTGCCGAGGGAGCGGCGCCGGCACCTGCAGCAGGAGGAGGTGGACGAGCTCGCGGCGCAGCTCGGCCGCGGGCGCTTCGGCCTGGTGAGGGAGCAGTTCGAGCTGCCGGGCGACGTGGACTGGGAAGGCTGGCGGCGCGCGCAAGCGCGTGTGGCGACCGCGGGGGCGTCGGCCCTCCTCATATAGCGGGGGGGTTCTGGGAGGGCAAAAGGCCCAATGGGGCTCCCCACGAGTGCCCAGGGGCTTTCAAAAGGGCTGATCCGTGGCCAATGGGGTGGGGGGCTTTGAGAAGTCCCCCGCCGTCTCAGGAGCCCCCGCCTTCTTGGAAGGCCGCCGCCGGCCGCCGCCTCCCTCTGTAACTGTGCGCGCGCCGCCGAGAAGGTGTGGAGTGCACCTACGAGCAGGGCGTACTGCGCGTGGTGCTCCCGCGCCTGGCCATGACAGCGCGAAGCTTTGGTGGCTACGGTGTTCCTGGGCGCCGACGTGCCTCGCAGCCCAGCCCTTGCCCCGGCAGGTACCCAGGACCGGTGTGCGACGGGGGGCGCCCACAGTTCATGTGGTGAGCAGTTGCGTCCGCAGTTGCCCGCTGCCGCTGCGGAGGACCGCCGCCGCGGTTCAGTGTTTTCGATCTGATGGGTATCACGGATGGTGCTATTTTCACGCGGGCCTTCCCGCCTTTTTGTCACCGCGGTGCCATATGAGTGCCGCGGGGACTGGTAAGTATGTCCCTCGAGGTGGGATCATGGCTTGTGGACAGCCGCCATGCCTGAGACCTTCGCAAAGACCCCGCTTCTGTACAGCGCTGGGAGAGCACATGCCAACAACAACAACAACCAGAGTGACCTCGTCATCGTCGTGCACACGAGCGAAGTTGGATTCAAGAGGCGCCGCTTACGCCATTCCACCGACCCCCAGAAGGGGATCTAAGCGGCCTCGAATGTTGTATGTGTTGTTTGCCGCTCTGCGTCGCACTGCCTGCATGCAATTGTTGCCGACTCGGTCTCCACTTCCTGCTCCGCTGCTTTGCGGTGCTTCTTGGATGCCTGTTGGGAGGCCTCAGGTGCGGCCTTCTGAAAGCTCCTGGGGGCTTCCTGGGGCCCTCTGTGTGCTTCTCTGGGCCTCGGGCACGTTGTGTGCTTGTGGTGAGGGGATGGGGGCATCTTGTGAGGGGTGCCCCTCTTGGGCCTCTCTTGGGCCCCTCTTGGGGGTCATTTTGATCGTCTGGGGCGCCTCTTGGGCCTTGGGCCGTGTCGGGGCCCTCTTGGGCCGTCTGGGCCTTTTCGGGGCGGCTTGGCCCGACTTAGGCCGCCGTGGGGGGGCCTCGCGGGCCTTGGGCTTTCAGATACCAGCAAAGGCGAGAACGCGAATCTCATCCAACAACTAATGGGAAATCAGTCGAAACCCTCGTGGATGCTTCTTGGGGCCCTCTTGGAGCGTTGTGACTGCCTCTTGGGCCGTCTTGAGGCCATTTCGGGATTTGTTGAAGTCTTTCCAGCGTGTTGGAGCCCGTCTTGAGCCATCGTAGGAAGCATCTTGGAGGCCAGGAGGGTGGAGTTGGAGGCTCCGAATGCCCCAAAGGTGCGCTCCCTTTAGGGCGTGTGTGGTTTAGAGCGTTTTGTCTTCCAACCCTTTGTTCCCCTTCGGGGAGGGGTTTACCCTTCCCCCTACTCCCTGCCCCTGGACCAGGACGGGCCGCCCCGCGACCCATTCGAGCGTCCAAGTCGGCCTCGGCGAGAAGGCGCAAATCATTGATACGGGAGCAGTTTGGGCTTCCTGGGAGGGCGGGGCTATCATTTACGCCCCCCGCCCTTCTTTGATGGATCTCCTCCAAGATGGCCCCAAGATTGCCTCCCAAGAGGCGCCCAAGAGTGCCCCCCAAGAGGCGCCCAGGAGGCCCCAAGAGGCACCCAGGAGGTCCCCAAGAGGCTCCCAAGAGACCCCCAAGAGGGCCTCCCGAGGGACCCAAGACACACCAAGAGGCCCCCAGGACCACGAAGAGGCCCCAATGACGCTCCAAGAGGACTCCAAGAAGCTTCCAACGGCCATCTGAAGAGACTCCGAGAGGCATACAAGAGGCCTCTGGTCATTATGCTCGCCCTCCTCCTTCTCTTCCTCCTCCTCCGCCTGTCCCTCCTTCTCCCTCCTCCCTATTCCCCCTCCCCCTCCTTCTTCTCCTCCCCCTCCTCCTCAACCTCGTCGTCGTCCTCCTCCAGTTCCTCCTCCATCCTCCCCGTCTTGGGGTATGACGACATCCCCAGCCCGTCATTCCATTGCATGCTCCTCCACATCCCTGATAAGGGCAACTCGCCAGGGCATTGCATCTGGATAAAATGGTGGGTTACGCGAAGCGTCTAGAAGCCTTGGGGCACTCTTGGGAGCCTTCGGGGCCATCTTGGGGCATTTTGGAGGAGATGAATCAAAGAGGGGCGGGGGGGCGTAAATTTATGGCCCCACCTCCCAGGAAACCAAAATTGCCCCCAAACCCATGTCAAATCAATGATTTGTGCCTTCTCGGCGAGGCCGTCTTGGACGCTCGAATGGGTCGCGGGGCGCCCCGTCCAGGTCGAGGGTGAGGGGGTAGGGGGAGGGGTCAAGCTACCTTCCTAGATAACAAGCCATGCAGAGCTCACTCACCGTCCCATCGCCGCTGTAGTGTTTGACTCAAGTGCCATTCGAGCCAGTGATACTCCCGGGTGTCGAGGCGGACCCGCCCCGTCCCGGCATCGATGTCCGACGCTGAGTTGTTTGCAGACGTCGCGCCAGTGACCCCGTCGCTGGCGAGCGACGAGCCGATGGAGGCGGACAGCAGCGATGACGCACCCTTGCGTCGCACGCAGTCTCAGGCCGTCAAGCGGATCAAGATCGACGAGGTGGCCAGGACCGTGCAGGAGCGGGACGAGCCCGTGCAGGAGCTCCGCAAGGCACTCTCGCAGCTCTGCAGGCGGCAGGCCGACGCCGACGCCGACGCCGACGCCGAGGACCTGGCCACAAGGCGCGAGCATGCTGCGGAGCAGCTGCGGCAGGTGGAGCGCCTGCAGCAAGGCTTCCGGAACTTCGGGGAGGACCTGATGGAGGGCATGCTCGCGCTGGACCGCCTTTCCGGGCTCGCGGAGGAGGACCGCGCAGTGCGCAAGCAGACGCTCTGGGGCATCCAGGGCCTCCTGGACGAGGTCGACGGCGCGAAGCCGCGCGTCGCGCAGCTCCGGAAGAGGCTGGCCGCGGAGCTGGAGCGGCTGGGGCCGAAGCCCTCTCCGGCCAGGGCGGAGCCCGAGGCGCCCCCTGAGGCGACCCCCGAGCCCGCGGCGCCCCTGGAGCCCGAGGACGCCTGCGGGCCCGCCGCGCCCGCGCCCGCGCCAGGCCCGGCCAGCCAGGTCGGAGGGCACCAACTCTACACACCTGCGGCCGATCGTGGCCAGGCCGATCCTGGGCATCTATGGTCCGAGGTCGAGGGTTCACAGGCCCCCCCCCAAGATGGGATGGGGGACGACGACGACGACGACGACGACGACGACGACGACGACGACGACGACGTCCACCCTCCATCACTCCACTCCACGTACACAGGGCCGCGACCACAAGGGGGTTGGGGTGGGGGGCGGTCCCACCCGCGAGGCCTTCGCGAGGCTCACGGGCTTACCCATCGAGCGGCGGGGGGCGGGGGGCGGAGCTCTGGATCATCAGGAGGGCGCGCATGCGCCGATCCTGGGCCCAAGGCCTGGCCAGTGTCGGTGCGGGTGCATGTATAGTTGGCGTCCTCCTGCCAGCAGCAGCGGCGGCTGCCGCGGCCAAGCGTCGACTGGAGCCGGGTCAGGCTGCCCGCGGAGTTCTCGGCGGCCGAGCGCGGCCGGGCCTACGTCCTCTCCGCGCAGCTGCCAGGCCTGGAGGCCGACAGCGTCCGGCTGGCGCGCAGGGGCGGCGGCGTGCTGTGCGTCCAGGGGCTGCGGCTGCCCAGCCCCGCGGAGCAGAGGGCCCTCGAGCGGGCGCTGGCGGCGCACCTGCAGAGGCTGCCGAGGGAGCGGCGCCGGCACCTGCAGCAGGAGGAGGTGGACGAGCTCGCGGCGCAGCTCGGCCGCGGGCGCTTCGGCCTGGTGAGGGAGCAGTTCGAGCTGCCGGGCGACGTGGACTGGGAAGGCTGGCGGCGCGCGCAAGCGCGTGTGGCGACCGCGGGGGTGTCGGCCCTCCTCATATAGCGGGGGGGTTCTGGGAGGGCAAAAGGCCCAATGGGGCTCCCCACGAGTGCCCAGGGGCTTTCAAAAGGGCTGATCCGTGGCCAATGGGGTGGGGGGCTTTGAGAAGTCCCCCGCCGTCTCAGGAGCCCCCGCCTTCTTGGAAGGCCGCCGCCGGCCGCCGCCTCCCTCTGTAACTGTTCGCGCGCCGCCGAGAAGGTGTGGAGTGCACCTACGAGCAGGGCGTACTGCGCGTGGTGCTCCCGCGCCTGGCCATGACAGCGCGAAGCTTTGGTGGCTACGGTGTTCCTGGGCGCCGACGTGCCTCGCAGCCCAGCCCTTGCCCCGGCAGGTACCCAGGACCGGTGTGCGACGGGGGGCGCCCACAGTTCATGTGGTGAGCAGTTGCGTCCGCAGTTGCCCGCTGCCGCTGCGGAGGACCGCCGCCGCGGTTCAGTGTTTTCGATCTGATGGGTATCACGGATGGTGCTATTTTCACGCGGGCCTTCCCGCCTTTTTGTCACCGCGGTGCCATATGAGTGCCGCGGGGACTGGTAAGTATGTCCCTCGAGGTGGGATCATGGCTTGTGGACAGCCGCCATGCCTGAGACCTTCGCAAAGACCCCGCTTCTGTACAGCGCTGGGAGAGCACATGCCAACAACAGCAACAACAACAACAACAACAACAACAACAACAACAACAACCGGAGCGACCTTGTCATCGTCGTGCACGTGAGCGAAGTTGGATTCAAGAGGCGCCGCTTACGCCATTCCACTGACCCCCAGAAGGTGATATAAGCGGCCTCGAATGTTTTATGTGTTGTTTGCCGCTTCACGTCGCACTGCCTGCATGCAGTTGTTGCCGATTCGGTCTCCACTTCATGCTCCGCTGCTTTTGCGGGGCTTCTTGGGTGCCTGTTGGAAGGCTTCAGCTGCGGCCTTCTGAAAGCTCCTGGGGGCTTTCTGGGGCCCTCTGTGTGCTTCTCTGGGCCTCGGGCACGTTGTGTGCTTGTGTGTGGTGGGGGGATGGGGGCATCTTGTGAGGGGTGCCCCTCTTAGGCCTCTCGTGGCCCCTCTTGGGGGTAATTTTGATCGTCTGGGGTGCCTCTTGGGCCGTGTCGGAGCCCTCTTGGGCCATCTGGGCCTTTTCTGGGCGGCTTGGCCCGACTTGGGCCGCCGTGGGGGGGCCTCGCGGGCCTTGGGCTTTCAGATGCCAGCAAAGGCGAGAACGCGAATCTCATCCAACAACTCGTGGGAAATCAGTCGAAACCCTCGTGGATGCCTCTTGGGGCCCTCTTGGAGCGTTGTGACTGCTTCTTGGGCCGTCTTGAGGCCATTTCGGGATTAGTTGAAGTCTTTCCAGCGTGTTGGAGCCCGTCTTGAGGCATCGTAGGAAGCATCTGGGAGGCCAGGAGGGTGGAGTTGGAGGCTCCGAAGGCCCCACAGGTGCGCTCCCTTTAGGGCGTGTGTGGTTTAGAGCGTTTCGTCTTCCAACCCCTTTGTTCCCCTTCGGGGAGGGGTTTACCCTTCCCCCTACTCCCTGCCCCTGGACCTGGACGGGGCGTCCCGCGACCCATTCGAGCGTCCAAGTCGGCCTCGGCGAGAAGGCATAAATCATTGATATTGGAGTAGTTTTGGCTTCCTGGGAGGGCGGGGCTATCATTTACGCCCCCCGCCCTTCTTTGATGGATCTCCTCCAAGATGGCCCCAAGATTGCCCCCCAAGAGGCGCCCAAGAGTGCCCCCGAAGAGGCGCCCAGGAGGCCCCAAGAGGCACCCAGGAGGTCCCCAAGAGGCTCCCAAGAGACCCCCAAGATGGCCTCCCGAGGGACCCAAGGCACACCAAGAGGCCCCCAGGACCACGAAGAGGCCCCAAGGATGCTCCAAGAGGACTCCCAGAAGCTTCCAACGGCCATCCGAAGAGACTCCGAGAGGCATACAAGAGGCCTCTGGTCATTATGCTTGCCCTCCTCTTCCTCCTCCTCCGCCTGTCCCTCCTTCTCCCTCCTCCCTATTCCCCCTCCCCCTCCTTCTTCTCCTCCCCCTCCTCCTCAACCTCCTCGTCGTCCTCCTCCTCCAGTTCCTCCTCCATCCTCCCCGTCTTGGGGTATGACGGCATCCCCAGCCCATGATTCCATTGCATGCTCTTCCACATCCCTGATCAGGGCAACTCGCCAGAGCACTGCATCTGGATATAATGGTGGGTTACGCGAGGCGTCTAGAAGCCTTGGGGCACGCTTGGGGCACTCTTGGGAGCCTTCGGGGCCATCTTGGGGCATTCTGGAGGAGATGAATCAAAGAGGGGCGGGGGGCGTAAATTTATGGCCCCACCTCCCAGGAAACCAAAATTGCCCCCAAACCCATGTCAAATCAATGATTTGTGCCTTCTCGGCGAGGCCGTCTTGGACGCTCGAATGGGTCGCGGGGCGCCCCGTCCAGGTCGAGGGTGAGGGGGTAGGGGGAGGGGTCAAGCTACCTTCCTAGATAACAAGCCATGCAGAGCTCACTCACCGTCCCATCCCCGCTGTAGTGTTTGACTCAAGTGCCATTCGAGCCAGTGATACTCCCGGGTGTCAAGGCGGACCCGCCCCGTCCCAGCATCGATGTCCGACGCTGAGTTGTTTGCAGACGTCGCGCCAGTGACCCCGTCGCTGGCGAGCGACGAGCCGATGGAGGCGGACAGCAGCGATGACGCACCCTTGCGTCGCACGCAGTCTCAGGCCGTCAAGCGGATCAAGATCGACGAGGTGGCCAGGACCGTGCAGGAGCGGGACGAGCCCGTGCAGGAGCTCCGCAAGGCACTCTCGCAGCTCTGCAGGCGGCAGGCCGACGCCGACGCCGACGCCGACGCCGAGGACCTGGCCACAAGGCGCGAGCATGCTGCGGAGCAGCTGCGGCAGGTGGAGCGCCTGCAGCAAGGCTTCCGGAACTTCGGGGAGGACCTGATGGAGGGCATGCTCGCGCTGGACCGCCTTTCCGGGCTCGCGGAGGAGGACCGCGCAGTGCGCAAGCAGACGCTCCGGGGCATCCAGGGCCTCCTGGACGAGGTCGACGGCGCGAAGCCGCGCGTCGCGCAGCTCCGGAAGAGGCTGGCCGCGGAGCTGGAGCGGCTGGGGCCGGAGCCCTCTCCGGCCAGGGCGGAGCCCGAGGCGCCCCCTGAGGCGACCCCCGAGCCCGCGGCGCCCCTGGAGCCCGAGGACGCCTGCGGGCCCGCCGCGCCCGCGCCCGCGCCAGGCCCGGCCAGCCAGGTCGGAGGGCACCAACTCTACACACCTGCGGCCGATCGTGGCCAGGCCGATCCTGGGCATCTATGGTCCGGGGTCGAGGGTTCACAGGCCCCCCCCCCAAGATGGGATGGGGGACGACGACGACGACGACGACGACGACGACGACGACGACGACGACGACGACGACGACGACGTCCACCCTCCATCACTCCACTCCACGTACACAGGGCCGCGACCACAAGGGGGTTGGGGTGGGGGGCGGTCCCACCCGCGAGGCCTTTGCGAGGCTCATGGGCTTACCCATCGAGCGGCGGGGGGCGGGGGGCGGAGCTCTGTATCATCAGGAGGGCGCGCCTGCGCCGATCCTGGGCCCAAGGCCTGGCCGGTGTCGGTGCGGGTGCATGTATAGTTGGCGTCCTCCTGCCAGCAGCAGCGGCGGCTGCCGCGGCCAAGCGTCGACTGGAGCCGGGTCAGGCTGCCCGCGGAGTTCTCGGCGGCCGAGCGCGGCCGGGCCTACGTCCTCTCCGCGCAGCTGCCAGGCCTGGAGGCCGACAGCGTCCGGCTGGCGCGCAGGGGCGGCGGCGTGCTGTGCGTCCAGGGGCTGCGGCTGCCCAGCCCCGCGGAGCAGAGGGCCCTCGAGCGGGCGCTGGCGGCGCACCTGCAGAGGCTGCCGAGGGAGCGGCGCCGGCACCTGCAGCAGGAGGAGGTGGACGAGCTCGCGGCGCAGCTCGGCCGCGGGCGCTTCGGCCTGGTGAGGGAGCAGTTCGAGCTGCCGGGCGACGTGGACTGGGAAGGCTGGCGGCGCGCGCAAGCGCGTGTGGCGACCGCGGGGGCGTCGGCCCTCCTCAGATAGCGGGGGGGTTCTGGGAGGGCAAAAGGCCCAATGGGGCTCCCCACGAGTGCCCAGGGGCTTTCAAAAGGGCTGATCCGTGGCCAATGGGGTGGGGGGCTTTGAGAAGTCCCCCGCCGTCTCAGGAGCCCCCGCCTTCTTGGAAGGCCGCCGCCGGCCGCCGCCTCCCTCTGTAACTGTTCGCGCGCCGCCGAGAAGGTGTGGAGTGCACCTACGAGCAGGGCGTACTGCGCGTGGTGCTCCCGCGCCTGGCCATGACAGCGCGAAGCTTTGGTGGCTACGGTGTTCCTGGGCGCCGACGTGCCTCGCAGCCCCGCCCTTGCCCCGGCAGGTACCCAGGACCGGTGTGCGACGGGGGGCGCCCACAGTTCATGTGGTGAGCAGTTGCGTCCGCAGTTGCCCGCTGCCGCTGCGGAGGACCGCCGCCGCGGTTCAGTGTTTTCGATCTGATGGGTATCACGGATGGTGCTATTTTCACGCGGGCCTTCCCGCCTTTTTGTCACCGCGGTGCCATATGAGTGCCGCGGGGACTGGTAAGTATGTCCCGCGAGGTGGGATCATGGCTTGTGGACAGCCGCCATGCCTGAGACCTTCGCAAAGACCCCGCTTCTGTACAGCGCTGGGAGAGCACATGCCAACAACAGCAACAACAACAACAACAACAACAACCAGAGTGACCTCGTCATCGTCGTGCACACGAGTGAACTTGGATTCAAGAGGCGCCGCTTACGCCATTCCACCGACCCCCAGAAGGGGATATAAGCGGCCTCGAATGTTGTATGTCTTGTTTGCCGCTTCGCGTCGCACTGCCTGCATGCAGTCGTTGCCGATTCGGTCTCCACTTCCTGCTCCGCTGCTTTTGCGGGGCTTCTTGGGTGCCTGTTGGAAGGCCTCAGGTGCGGCCTTCTGAAAGCTCCTTGGGGCTTCCTGGGGCCCTCTGTCTGCTTCTTTGGGCCTCGGGCACGTTGTGTGCTTGCGTGTGGTGAGGGGAGGGGGGCATCTTGTGGGGGGGTGCCCCTCTTGGGCCTCTCCTGGTCCCCTCTTGGGGGTCATTTTGGTCGTCTGGGGCGCCTCTTGGGCCTTGGGCCGTGTCGGGGCCCTCTTGGGCCGTCTGGGCCTTCTCGGGGCGGCTTGGCCCGGTTTGGGCCGCCGTAAGGGGGGACCTCGCGGGCCTTGGGCTTTCAGATACCAGCAAAGGCGAGAACGCGAATCTCATCCAATAACTCATGGGAAATCAGTCGAAGCCCTCATGGATAACCTACTGCTGTAATTTCCTGCTTGCCTCCAGGGTGCCCTGGGTTTCGATGGTTTCGCTATGTTTCTTGTGGGAGGTTTCTTCTGGATCGGCCCCCACTGTAAGCAATTGCCCGGGGGGATTGGAGCTTCGCCAGGTGCCCTGACATGGGCGTCTCGTGGGCGCCCCGTGGGTTTCGCTGGGTGGGTCGGGCTTTCGCCACGGGCCCGCCCGAGGGCGCTGCGGTTGACCGCGTCCACAGAGTCCGCGGGCAGGCCGTCTGCCCCCGGGACCGTCAGAACCAGATCCCGGATGAAAAACTGCGCCAGACGGCCCCGGGAGGGGGACCGATTGTGAGCGGATTTGTCTTCATCCCCTTTCTTGATTTCCTGGTCTCTGGGGTCCCAGCCAGTTCTGACCCCCAGGCCGCCCCCCAGCTTGTTCCGAAGCCTTCGGGCGTGCGGCGGCTGCCAGCGACTGCCGATGCTGGTGCCGCAGAGCATGAGCCGCGGCCGGCGAGGCGGGGTCGCCGGCCCGTGGCCGCGAGGAGCGGGGCCGTTGCCCTCGGGAGCACCGCGCGGCAGAGGTCCTCTTAAGCTGGTGGAGGGAGGGGCGGGGTGGAGTGCGGGGGCCGCCAACGACCCCCCAGCCACAGCTGCCTGCATCGGCGCGGGGCAAAATTCCCCCCCCCCCCCAGCGGACAAACGAAGCCCGTGCCAGGACCACCCCTGCCAGAACCGCACCGTCCCGGGCCCGGCGGGGCGTCCAGCGCGCCTCCTCCCCTGCCCCTCCCTGACGGCGAAGGTAAGTTCCTGGTGGCGGGGGGGCGGAGGGCGTCTCGAGGCAGTCTTCGGCTCGAGCCTCTTCCTTTTGTGTGCTGCCTTCCCTGAGATCCGACGCTGCAGAACAAAACATGCAACATCGCAAAGAAGTCGCGCCCGGACCCCTGGACCCCATCTTGCTGCGTCGTTTTCCGAGCTGGATCGATCCGTGCGGGTCCCATGGGCCCGCTCTCGAGCGCAATCGCCCGCGTCGGAAAAGGTGCAATGCCAGGATCTCAGGGTTTTTCTTCGGCTCCCGTCCGTGGGACCCCTTCCGAGCGACGACCTCCGCGGGCGCTGCGCGATGGAGCCGGGCGCCGCGGCCCTTCTCGGGTGCTGCTAGAAGCGTCCCTGGCCCAGGGCGCCCCTGCGGCCTCCAGAGCTCGGGGGCGGCAAACAGGGGGGTGATGATCGGGAGGGGGAGTCACATGGCGGGGGCCGTGAAATCTCCCCAGGTATCATGGCGCCTCTTCTGACATCAATGCGTCCCCAGCCACCCCCCCTGGGCCGCGCATGTGCCACCGGCCAAGATTTACGCCCCCCCTCTTGGACGCCCCCCTCTTGGCCGCACCCGAAGCGCTCCCCTCGCGAGGCCCCCAGGGGGCCCAGGGGTTCCAAAGGGGAGCGAAGCGCTGGGGTGTTGCCTTGGGCCAGGGGCTCCGCCCAGAGATCCAATGTAGTGATTTTTCCAATGCGGGGTCCCCGGAAGTCTCTACAGATTTTGCGAATCTGAGGAGGAGGAGGAGGAGAAGGAGGAGGAGGAGGAAGATGGGGAGGGGGAGGGGGAAGAGGAGAGGAGGAGGGGAGGAGAGGAGGAGGAGGAGGAGGAAGAGGAGGAGGAGGAGGAGACGAGGACGAGGACGAGGAGAGAGGAGGGAGGGAGGGAGGAGGGAGGAGGGAGGAGGAGGGAGGAGGAGGGAGGAGGAGGAGAGGAGGGAGCAGGAGAGAGCAGGAGGGAGGAGGAGGGAGGAGGAGGGAGAGGAGGGAGGAGGAGGGAGGAGGAGGGAGGAGGAGGAGGGAGGAGGAGGAGGAAGGAGGAGGGAGGAGGAGGAGGAGGAGGAGGACGGATTTTTTTAAATCCTGAATCGTTTTTGGACGGTCCCGGGGCCCGGCGAGGGCCCCTGGAGGCCGAAAGTTGCGAAGAACATCCGTCCTGGTTTTTGTTCGATACTTTGGATTTCTGGGCCTGAGCAGCCCCCGACCTTCCGCCCATGCCGCGGGGATCTCAGGGGTCGCTGCTCAAGCTCGAGGGGGCCATCAAGCGCTGCGGGAGCGCGCGGCAGTGGAGCCAGGTACTGCAGCTCTTCCGCGACGCGTGCCAACTGCCCGTGCGGGTCAGCCCGGGCTGCTACGTGACGACCGTCCTCGCCCTGGGGAGGGGCAGGCCGTCGGTTTCACTCAACGGATCCCCACCCCCGCCGGGCCACACCGTCGACCCCCTCGCGCTGTGAAACTATCTCGACGGGAGGTGTTTCACCGTTTTCGGCCTCCGGGGGCCCTTACCGGGCCTCGGGGCCGTCAAACAACGAGCCAGGATGAAAAACCGGTCCAAGGGAAGGGGTCCAGACCTCTGGGGACAGGCCGTCGGTTTCGTTTGGTAGCAAACCATGGGGGCCCTGTGTACCCTTGTAATTCCGTCTTTGGCGTCGACTAGCGTTTGGGAGTCGATGAGACATCGCCGATTTAGCGTTGGCTAGCGTCGATTCGCAAGAGCTGACAAGATGGTCTGAGAGGCTCCCATGAGTTGCCACCGAATTTTCGGTTAACTTATCCCCATCCCCACCAGGCCAGAGGAGGCAAAGGTACCGATACCGCTACCCTTCCCTCGGTTTAGTTTCGCCTTTTCGGGCCTCCTGGGATGCCCTCGTCGCCACCGCTGGATTCGCCTCGAGATCCTGGTCCGAACGCACCCCGGGAAAGGTCCGGGGAGTAGCAGTATCGGTACCTTTTGGCTTCCCTACAGGCAGTCGGTTTCGGTTACCCTAGCGTCATCCCCACCAGTCTAGTGTCTCAGCCCCACCATCCCACCACCCCAATTGGGGATAGGCATCTGGGGGGGGTAAATCGGCCACCAAGTTGCAGGCCATGCCAGTGGGGCTAGGGATCGGTTAAACGATGCTCAGGCAGTGGCGGCAGGCGCTGTCGGTTCTCGGCGCGGCGTTTGCGGACGGGGTGCAGGCCAATGTCATATCATCTCAGTAGCATCGGGGTCGTTATAGAGGGAGGCTTGTCGGCGGCGAGCGAGGGGGGAAGTGAGAAGGAGAAAGCCCACTCCGAAGGCGGTGGGGGCGGAAATGCCCATGGGGTGCACCTTTTCCGCTGGGCTGGCGGCTTGGGCTGGAGGCAACCAGGATCAGTATTCACATGTCATTACTAAAGCTCCCCTCGCTACCTCTTGCTGCGCCGCCTTTACAATCCAAATGAGGGTTGGTGACGCCACCACATCAGCATTGACCTTGCGCTGCCAATCGCAACTTGCAGCTTTTGTTGTGCTCAGAAGCCCGCTCGCGCACGCGCGCGCCATCCCTCCAGCTGGGCGCACACGCACACGCATACACACATACACACAACACACAACACACAACACACAGCACACGCACACAACACACACACACACACACACGCACACACACGCGCGCGCACACGCACACACACACACACACACTTCACACACAGACGCACGCACGCACGCACGCACGCACGCACACACGCACGCACATACATATACACACACACACACGCACGCACGCACGCACGCACGCACATACATATATATATACACACACACGCACGCGCGCGCACGCGCGCGCACGCGCACGCGCACCGCTCACGCGCACCGCGCACAGCACACCGCAAACCGCACACCGCACACCGTACACCGCACACCGCACACGCACGCGCACCCGCACCCGCAGCCGCACACGCACCCGCACCCGCACACATACACACACACTCATTCACACACAGACACACTCACGTTTACCCTAGTACACCCGCTTAGCGGACATCCCGGCCATGGCGTCACCTACGTCTTCTCCGAAACGAGGGATTGTTACTAGAAGATGGCCGGCCAAAGTATCCTGACCAAGAGCCGATCAACAATATCAAAAGAGTGCCCGAATCCATGATGAATTGGCAACGTGCTGGCTATCAGCCGACAGCGTCACCAGGAGATCACGAAGCTGCGCTTCCTGTCCCGAGGGTGGATGTATCAAATAATGAAGAACAGCGCCGCGGCTCAAAAGGAATACAATACATCGTCTTCGAGACCGAGCCCCCTGATTGAGTCAGGGGCTCGGGCTCGCGTATTTCATAGAATACATCCCCAGGACGAAAGTTTTTTCCTCTTGGGCCCAGAGCGACGGCTTGAAGTATTGAGCAGACGCGTCTGAGATAACCGCCGTCGGATCCCATGAAATTCGCGCGGGTCCAAGTGTGGCTTTGGTGTTTGTTTCGGTGGATCCGATTTCCGTCGGCGCTGATCCGGTTTCGGATTTGCTGGATCCGTGTTCGGTGTTATTTTTACGGCGGATCCGATTTCTACCACGTTTTAAAGTTGTAGTATTACATTTAAGCGGGGAGCTGGAGGAAAGCGAATCCGCGGACCCCCAAACCCGCCCGTGTTAATATTCCATATCATCATCGCCTTTTGCACCGCGAGAGGAAAATCCTTCGTCCTGCGTGAGTATCGCTTCGGGTTTCTCGCTGTCGTCGGAAGATACGCCAGCGGGCGAGGGCCCTGGCCGCTGCGACACTCCACGGACGGGCGCCGACAAGGCGGAGGCGGACGCCGAGTGACGCGGACGAAGCAGCCCGGACAGGCAGCAATTGCGGGCGGGCGTCCATCAGGCCTGCATGACATCCTCCGACTCATTTGGTGAACGGGATGAACACGTGACCGTCTCGTCGGAAAACACGGGGTCGGTCGAGTCGACTCCCCGTCTGAGCCAGAAACGGTCGCTGAGTCGCTGAGTTCCATCCGGGGGGCGCCTCCGAAGCCTGTGGTCTGGGATCGCACCCAATATCGGTTCAGGAACCGTCGGCCACGTCAGCGCCACTCGACGACTGTGTCGCCGAGACTCCGTGAGAAGATCTGCAAAGCGAAATGGCAGATTTGATGGCAGGTCTGCTTCTGGCCCCCCAGACGAACGCCGAACAAACAGCCGAGTCGAGAGCACCCACAGCGAAGCAGCCTTGGGAGGCTCTTAGCCTGTCGGCCAGATCCCCACTCGTGAAGCGGACCAAGACGGAGGGCGCACCAGAGGAGGACAAGATGCTCAACCCGGGGGCTATGCTCCTGGGTCACCTCCCCCACCGGACAGTCCGCAGAGGATTCAGCTCGGTGGACACCTGAACCTCAGTGCGGCGGGGCCCCCATGTCCGCACTCGCTCTCCGAGGACCAGGGGCACGGGGCACGACCGACGCAGGGCATCGAGGGCCCCGCCGGGCGCATGGTCGTCCTCTGCTCGCACGGCGCGCTCCAATGCATCGAGCCTTCGCAGCGCTGAGCCATGCGCCAACGAAGGCCCCGGGCGCGTGGCACTCCCCGCGCGCTGCTGCCTGGGAAATCGAGGGCAGTGTAAGAAGGCAGTCTGTCGCGAACGTTCGGTCCGTCCTGATTTGTGCAATCTGATTTGCGTCTGCCCCCCCCTCCCCGCTCTCGCATAGTTGCGCGGCGCTGCGCAGCCTTGAATGGGGGCAGGCCGAAGAGAGAAGGCAGGGGGCAATGGCCGGAGAAAGGGGCCAGGAGCTGGCCCAGATGAGAGGGGGCAGATCATCGGAACCCATTCCGAAATTCAGCGGCGCGCAGCTGCTCGCGCCCAAGCCGAGAAAGATTGCATCGCAATGGTTCGTGTCATGGGGTAGGCCGAGGAAAGGCAGCACGCCGTCGCCTCCGAACATGCGGTGCGAACATCAGCAGAGCCACTTGGGCTGACCGGCAGGGTCGAGGCCTCGGCGGCCGCCGAGAAGCGCGCTCGAGACCTCGAACAGAGCGTCGCAGAGGAGGCACTGCGCGTCGTCCGGGGGGGTGGGGAGACCCAGCAGATGACGATGACCAGAGTTGCTGAGGAGCTCAAGGCGGCCGAGGCACGCGGCGTTCTCCTGGAGGCGGAGACGCAGGCCGCGGTCCGACGGGCTCAGGCAGACCGACAGATTGCCGAAGTTGTCGCGAAGAGGGCATCGGCCGAAAGCGCGGAGGCGATGAGGCAGGCTCAGGGCGAGGCCAGCGACACCCGCCAACAGGCGCAGGCCATCGCCCAAGCGGCAAGCGCGCACTGCGTTCGCGCTGCCACTGAGGTCAACGAGGTGACCATCGTGGCCCGGAATGCCGAGATCAGCGCGACACGGTCCATGGAGACTTTGGAGGCACAGCGTGGGCACTCGTGCAGACAGCAGGCAGAGTTTCACGCGCGCCAGCAGTTGGAGAAGCAAGCTCCCCAGATGAACCTTGGAGTGGCTCATGTCGCCGCAGGCAGCGCAGCTCCTCCGCGGGCGGGGGCGCCCAGGCAGGCCGCGCGCGCCGCGCCTGGGCGGACTGCGGCGTTTTTTTTGCGCAGCGGGGTCGCGGGCCGCGGCTGCGCGCGGCGCGCCAGGTCGCGCTGTGATGCCCACTGCGACACGGTTGACAAGAAATGCGCCACTTGCGTCGACGATTCGGCGGATAGAGACCAGGAGGTTGGGAGAAAGCACGAGGGAGATGAGGAAGAGGAACGCGAAGCGAAAAGGGAACTTCAGGAACGGATCGCCTCCCAATCTGCACCTGGGGCGGGGCCCTTTGACTGTCCGCCGCTCCCCGGGGCGTCTCGCGACTGCGTCGCGAGCGCCTCGGAACTTGCGGGGGAATTAGAACGCAGAAGACGACGTCTCCAGACGCCTGAAGGCTTTTTGGGGGAATCTGCCAGGGTCAAGTGCCAGAGACTCGGATATGCTCGCGTGAACGACGCGGAACGTGGAGGGCCCCGTGGAGGCGAAGGCCAGTAGGCAGGAGTTGCGCGCTGAGGAGTGTGACCGTCGGAGCCATTATGCGTTCGAGTATTTTGCGTTTGGCCTCTTCGGCCAGTCTCAAGAACTTGAAAAAAGCTCCAGACGCCCCCCAAAACAGCCCCGGAGGGGGGCTTATTTGCAAGCGTGATGACAGGATGGGGCTCGAAGCGCGCCCCCGAGGGCCTTGGAAAATAGGCCCAGGACCGCCCAGGAAATCGGGGAATGTTGGGCCAGGGGGCCTCGAAGTGCGCTTGTGATGTTCAACACAGAACTCCTTAACGAATTACACGACATTCATATCAGTGTTTCGCGGAACTGTGGCGGTGTTTTGCCAATTTCTATTTTTGTTTGGCCACTCACCGTTCGGTGTTCCGTATTCTTGTTGTGCCACTTTTGTTTGGGTAGAGGTTTGGAATTTGTTTCCTCACCATCTTGGTTTGATATGAATTGTGATCATGTGCATGTTTCCGTTTTGGTGTGGCACTATATGTTCGGTTTGCTTGCTGATGTGCGTTAGATTGTGCCGTTTTGCGTTGGTAGGTTCTGGAGTCAGGGTCTTCGGGCTTTTCGAGCTCGGGGGCGTCCGGGTTCGATGGGCCCCCCTTGCCAAAACCTTTCCGTCCTCCTTCTCCATGCGCCCACTCCCCCCCCCCGTCCTTCGTCTGTCCTCTCTTTTCCTCTCCTTCCGTTGCTTCCCCCGTCATTCCCTTAGTTTGCCCCCCGCCCCCCTCCCTAGTCCAGTCCCTCCCTATAGTCTAGTCCCTCTTCTCCTTTCTCTCCTCCCCCCCTCGTGCCGGAGGGGCGGCGGGCGGAACGGGCGCGGCGTTTCGGCCTTCGAGAGAGAGAGAGAGATAAGAAAAAGAGCTGCTGCATCTGGACCGGCACGGCATCTGTGCTCGTGCCGCTTCCGCCAGGCCGGCCCGACCTCTCGGGAGAGGGAGCGCACACACCACCACCACCACCACCACCACCACCAGGCATCTACAGGTTTTCCTCCCTCCTCCTCCTCCTCCTCCCCTCCTCCTCCTCCTCCTCCTCCTCCTCCTCCTCCTCCTCCTCCTCCTCCTCCCTCCCTCCTCCTCCTCCTCCTCCTCCTCCTCCTCCTCCTCCTCCTCCCTCCTCCTCCTCCTCCTCTCTCCTCCTCCTCCTCCTCCCTCCTCCTCCTCCTCCTCCTCCTCCTCCTCCTCCTCCTCCTCCTCCTCCTCCTCCCCCTCCTCCGAGTGGTCCCTTGGGGTCCAGTCCTCGTCTGCACCACTTTCAGGCTGGGAGGCCCAGCGGCCCAAGATCTGTCCCACGGAGTGGTGATGGTGGTGGTGGTGGTGGTGGTGGTGGTGGTGGTGGTGGTGGTGGTGGTGGTGGTGGTGGTGGTGGTGGTGGTGGTGGTGGTACAGGTGCCCTCTCCCTAATTGCCCCCCTTTTTCTCCACCCCCCCTTCTCTCGAAGAAGACACAACTGCTTCAGCAAAATGTTCGGAGCTCCGCCCGGATTTCTTGGATCGGCGCTGGGACACCCTCCTGGCGTGCGGAACGCGCCAGGGGCGGTGCCAGAGGCGCCACCCAGGGGGCCCCAGCGCCGATCCTATAGTACCCCCCTTTTCTCCGTCCTCCTTTCTCCCTCTTCCCGATGTCTTCGTCCAGTCTTCCAGGGCGTCGCAGAATTCGTTTGCACACGCCTAGGCGTCGGCACACGGACTCTTCCTGGTCATCTACAGTGCTGGAATTAGCGCGTGCGAGAAAGGCGGGCAGTGGCAGAGTGCGCTGGCGCTGCTGTGCGAGATGGGGGATGCGAACTTGAAGCCCGACGTCGCCGTGTCCGTCGTTGTCGTCCTCCTCCAACTTCACCCGCACGCAGGCCCCCAGTAGGCTCCGAGATGGCGCCAGAGCGCCCACAGAGCTTCAGAAGGCCCCAGGAGGAGCCGCGGGGACCCTCCACGAATCCCACAATTTCTGGCATCCCCCCATCCTTCTTCGCGAGAGCGTGTCGAGATGGACTCCACAGGCCTCCGACAGCGCTGCAGAGGCCCCCGAAGAGGCTCGAAGAGGTCCGCAGGCGTTCCCCAAATGGCCCAGGATTCCTTCGCCTACCCTTCAGGCTGGCCCCGAGGCGGCTTCCAGGATGACCCAAGGCCGCCCCAACGTAGGCTCAAGAGCCCCCCAGACCGCCCACACAGTCCCAAGAATTGCGCCCCAAAGCCCCCATTGACGCCCAGGTGGCGCCAAGAGGGCCCACTAAGGTCCCAAGGAGCCCAAGAAGACCCCACTGTAGGCCCTAAGCATGACCCGATGTGGCCCCGAGAGCGCTCCAGGATCCCGATCTGTGTGGTGCCCCCGCAGTCTATGCAGAGTTCCCGAGTCAACGACACCGACACGACCAGTGCATAATTCCCAAGTCTATGAGACAACTCTTCATCCACAGATCTACAATAACTCAGCTACAACGCTGGGATGAGCGCGTGCGAGAAAGCTGAGAAGTGGCAGCATGCTTTGGCACTGTTTAGCGAAATGACAGAGGCGAAGCTGGAGCCCAGCGACGTCAGTTACAGCACTGGGATCAGTGCGTGTGGCCGTGGCGAGCAGTGGCAGCGGGCTGTGTCGTTATTGCGCGAGATGCGGAGAGCGAAGGTGGATCCCAACGTCATCAGCTTCAACGCTGGGATCAGCGCGTGCGGAAAAGGCCAGCAGTGGCAATGTGCTCTGAAGTTGCTCAGTGAGATGTGGGGTGTTAAATTGGAGCCCAACTTCATCAGCTTCAGCGCTGGTATCAACGCATGCTCGAAATGTGGGGAGTGGCAGAGGGCGTTGGTGCTGCTCAGCGTTATGTCGGAGTTGGCGGCGAATCCGAACGCCATTTGCTACAACAGTGGCATCTCTGCGTGCGTGAAAGGCTTGCAGTGGGATAAGGCTATGTCACTATTCTGTGACATGCGGGGTCAGATCTTGGAGCCCAGCGTCATCAGCTACAGCGCTGCGATCGGCGCATGCCAGACAGGCGGACAGTGGCAGCAGGCTCTCTCGCTGCTCAGAGAGATACGAGAAGTGAAATTAGTGCCCACAGTGATAAGCTACCAAGCTGGGATCAGCGCGTGTGAGAAAGGCGAACAATGGCAGCGGGCATTGGCGCTGTTCCGCGAGATGCGGGAGGTTAGATTGGAGCCCGACATCTTCAGCTACAACGCTGGGATCAGCGCGTGCGAGGAAGGCGCGCAGTGGCAGCAGGCTCTGTCGCTCATCAGCGAGATGTGGGAGGCGGAGTTGGTGCCCAACGTCTTCACATCTCCAGTTGCTGGGAGTCGAGCGTGCGAGCGAGCAGGGTATTGAGCGGCGCCGCCCATGCGGCTGCGTCTGGGCCACGCCACCAATTAGGACTCTCCGATGCTCTCTAAATCATGGCGACTGCCCCGGAGTTGCCTCGGAAACTCTCAGATTGCGGCCGGGAGCCCACACGAGGTGCCACGAGGCGCGCAAGAGGCGTCAAGACAGAGGCAAGGACGCCTTCTGAGATTTACAAGATGCCAGCCATCAGCGAGAAACCGTTGGCTCTTGTGTGAATGTTGGCTTTGCCGACGTTCTCCTCTCAGGGTAGATGATCCCGAGACCGCCCCAAGAGAGTCCCCAATGATGGCCCCAGCGACGCCCGAAGGAAAACCCAGGATTATTCTGGAGCCCAGGTGGGCTGGGAGAGCCCCTGGGCTGTTCGGAGGGGGGCCCCGGAGAGCGCCACGACGGCCCGAGGTGCCCCCCGGGGAGCCTCACTATATACGCCCAGGGTGTCGGAGGCCCCCAGGCGGTGCGGTGGCCGCACCGTGCGGTGGGCCGGTGGGGCTCCGGGGTCCCCGCACGGTGCCGAGATCCGGGTCCTTCTTCCGAGGAGGTCTCGGGCGACGGGCCTCCGGGGTCCCAGGGCCGTGCGGCGACGGACCGTGCTGTGAGGTCTCAATGGGGTTCCGAGGTCCACGCACGGTCTGTCGCCACGCAGGTTTTGGGATCCCCGAAAATGTAGCCCAAGGGATGCTCCCCAGTACGGCCTCCAGGTCCAGCGTCAGCAGGGCCAGCAGCAGCAGAAACAGTAGAACAGAAACGCAATCCTGCAGCACGAAGCAGTAGCGGCGCAGCAGCAGCACCTGCAGCAGCACGATCATACATCACCAGCACATGGCAACATCGGACAAACGGCAACAACCAGCACCATGAAACGACAAGCAGTAGCACCAAGCCGATGTTAGCAGCAGCAGCACTCACTAGCGCAGCAGACAGTAGCAGTACTAAGCAGCAGTACGCCGCAGCGAGCCGATAGGCAAACAATGACGGAAGCATGCAAGCAAGAGTTCAGGTCAAGCCAGTGGACGGGCATACAGTCAGGCCAGCAAGTTGTCGGCCCGCGTAAATCGCGGCGTAAGGTCGCTATGTCTCTCGTAAGATCCGCTTCTTTTCGTCGCTCAGTTGTCGGGCCCGCATGCTAGCAGCCACGCTCGCAGGATAGTATGCAAGCAGCCGAGCAGGCGATTGATCTTCACCCTTGCATGCAAGCCTTCGGTGACGTCAGTCCACGGATCAGCCGTGGTCAACTACAACACTGGGATGAGCGCGTGCGAGAAAGGCGAGCAATGGCAATGGGCTTTGGTGTTGCTGGACGAGATATTGGAGGCGAATGTGCAGCCCGATGGCATCAGCTACAGCGCTGGGATCAGCGCGTGCTATAAAGGCGAGCAATGGCCGCGGGCTTTGGCGCTGTTAAGCGAGATGCGGGAAGCGAAGGTTGAGCCCACTGCAATGTGCTACGGCGCCGGGATCAGCGCGTGCGAGACAGGCAATCAGTGGCAGCAGGCGTTGGTCTTGCTCGGCGAGATGCGGGAGGCGAAGGTGCAGCCCAACATCGTCTTTACTGCCATGCCTGCACCAGCGCGTGCGAAGGGTGAATGATCGGCAAGGCCTTAACGGCTCCAGGCCGAAGCGCGGCCCAAGACGGCCCAGTGCGCCAGGACCCGCCCATCTCGCCCCGTACAGCCTCCAGGAGACGCCCAAGGCGGCCAGGGACGCCGCGACACCGCGCGAAGATGTCCGCAGTGGGTTCCGTGATGGCCCCGATCATCGAAAACCGTCGAATCATCGAGGACCCTGGCGGCGCATGACTGGCCGCTCCCTGGGAGTTTGGGCGAAGTGGCGCGCAGCATAGAGAGTCGCAACGGGGGGCTTATTCCAGCTCCTCCTCCTCCTCCTCCTCCTCCTCCTCCTCCTTGGCGGGGGTGCATGTTTAATGGCATTGTGGCTCGGGAAGCGCGAGAGTGGTGTATTTTACAAGGGACTGTTGTCTCGGGAGCGCGAACGCGTTGTGATTTATACTCGGGAATTTGGCCTCGGGAGCGTAAGGCAGTGACATTGGAACTGGTCCCGGCGCCCCGAGAAATTCTGAGGACATGACTCGCGTGAGAATGGAGGAGTTTTCGGACAGGGTCATCGCGCGCCCTTCAATCATCACAACATGGGAACCAGAAGCCAGAAACTATAACGTTGGGAACTGGGACTGCTGCAGGGAACAGGAACACCTCCACCCGGCAGCCTGTTGGCTCGCAAGACGCTGGCGGATTGTAAGGTCGTCGTGCGATGCTGGACCTCTCCATTTTTCTGCTCCAGGTGGCCCCAGGAGAGGCCCCGAAGCTTCCAAGAGTCTCAGAACACCCCGAGATGGCCTGGTGTGGCCCCCGCTTGCCTCTACGATGGCCCCAAGGCGGCCTCAACGTGGCGCAGGACCGAGCTCCGAGACTCCTTTGAGCTGCCAAGCGGCCCCCAGGCACGCCGAAGGGGTCCCGCGAGGCCTGCGGAGGCCCGAAGATGGCCCCCAAAGAAGGCCCAATAGACTTTCGTCGGGCATGTCCCTCTACAGGAGGAATATTCAGAAAAAGTCAAAAAATAGTCTGGGGACGATTTTTTTTTGTTCTATCATGTTTGATTATTTCGGGGCAATGTTTTAGTATGTTTCATTTTTCGTTCAATATCCGCCTGTAGAGGGACATGCCCGACCTAAGCCCAATAGACTCCGTCGGGGCTGGACAGAACCCCAACCCTGACACGTCGATCAGTGAATTGTCCGTTTTCGGTTCTTGAGAGGGCGCCGCGGCCGTTATTTTCCAGGCTTGCGCCCGCCAGATTTGGGCCTGAGGTCGCTTTCACGAAACCACGCTTTGCACAAGGGAGCTCTGTCCATCCCCGACTCTGGAAAAGGCCCCGAGGTGGCCCCTATCAAGGCATCAAGGCAGGTCTACAGTTGAATCGGGCATGTCCCTCTACAGGAGGAATAGTCAAAAGTAGTCAAACAATAGTCAGGGAGCTTTTTTGTTGATTACTTGGCGTTTTGTCAATATTTTTGAATTTTCGCCCACCGTCCGCCTTTGGGAGGACACGCCCGACCTATCCCTACCAAGGCATCAAGGCAGGTCTACAGCCAGCGAGCGCAGCAAGCAAGCAAGCAAGCAGCAGCGCCAGCTGCTGCAGAGCTGGCAGCAGCTGCCGGGAGAGGCAGCCAAGACAGGCAGCCGTCAGCAGAGAAAACAGAACCTGCGAGCAGCAGCGATCAGCAACAGCTTCAGCACGAGTCCGCATGCGATCGTTTTCTTATTCACTGTCTTGCCGATCGGCGCGAACCCTCGCACCCCGCTTGCCCCCCCCCCCATGGAGTGATATGGAGTGGATCTCGGCTGCTTCTGGCGCCTGTTTCAGGCAGGTGGGGTCTCCCACCATATGACGCACTGTTGCAAACAGTCGCGCTAAGCAGAGGTCCAGAGCCAGACCCCCCCCCTCCCCTCCACTTCCGCCCAATGTCAAAACGCCGAATAAGAAAACGATCACCATCAGCAGCAGCAGCAGCAGCAGCAGCAGCAGCAGTTGCTTGTGGATTCGTCCCTCGGGTATCCACGGGTCATCTACAGCGCAGCGATCAGCGCGTGCGGACAAGGTGAACAGTGGCAGCAGGCTCTGGCGCTGCTCGGCCAGATGTGGGAGGCGAACTCGGAGCCCGACGTTTCCAGCTACAACGCTGGTATCAGCGCGTGCGGGAAAAGCCAGCAGTGGCAGATGGCAGTAGCGCTGTTCCGCGAGCTGTGGAAGGTTGAATTAGAACCCAATATCATCAGTTACGGCGCTGGGATCAGCGCGTGCATGAACGCCGACAAGTGGATGCGGGCACTGTCGTTGTTCAACGAGATGTGGGAGTCGAGGATGGAGCCCAACATAATCGTCTGTAATGCTGGGATCAGAGCGTGCGATGGGGCATTGGGCAAGTGGGAGCAGGCGTTGGTCCTGCTCGGCAAGATGTGGGAGGCGAAATTGGAGCCCGACGTCGTCCGTAGTCGCTCAATCAATGGCCGCGCGTGCGAGCAAGGGCTCCCGCAGTGGGCCTGGGCCTTCAGGCGAGGGCTTCAGGGCAACCCAGGACGGTGCAGAATCGTCCCACGGCATTCCGAGACGGCCCCACGGCATGTAGTCCTGGATGGCCACAAGATGGCCTCAAACAGCCTGGACGAAGGTCCCAAGATGACATGAGGGTGTCAAACACATAGGATGGCGTACATTTGCTGCTGTAGCTTTCGCACCCCTCGCCTGGCTGGTTCTAGAGAGGCCCACATGGGCCCACTCTGGCCACATCTGCTCCAAGGTGGAGGATCAGGATGAGGATAGGGCTCTTAGGGGTCGCGTTTCCGCCTGTCAGACACTTGCGAGACCCCTGAGTGGGACAGTGGGTGCAGGCCTCCTCGTCATAGATTGGAGGCTGCCTGGGGCGATGAGGCCCGGCCTCCCCCCCCCGGGCGGAGGAGGAGCAGGAGGGGGGAGGGCGGGGGCCACGAGACGCGAGGCCGGGCAGGGGGGCGCGAGTCCCAGCAGGTCTGAGAGAAGGGGCGCTCTCTTCCCGCGCCGCCCCACGCCCGCGCTCCCAGAGGAGCCGGAGGTGACCGTGCCTTCCTTGTCGGCTGCCTTTTGCCTGCGCGGCTCCTCGCCCGATACAGCGCGCGCCTGGAGGCAGTGCTGACTGAAGCTGGCCCCCGCGACCATCGCGGCATTGAGGCCCTTCGCACCGCTGTTCTCGAGGTGGAAGGTTGGTCGGGGTCAAACAGTCAAAAAAACAGTCTGGGGACGATTATTCGACTATTTTTTGGGTAATGTGTGGGCATGTGTGAGCATGTTGTGGCTATGTTTCATTCGTCTTCAAAATCCGCTTGCAGTTGGACATGCCCGACCTTACGCAAGGGTCGTCACGGCACGAGCTCACTATACTTCGGACCACAGCTCCATCCGCCTGCGGTGGATCTTTCCCGCGTGGGTTGCTCCTGTCTTCTTCGAATCGACGCATTGGTGCAAGGGTCGTCACGACACGAGCTCACCATATTTCGGACAAAAGCTCCATCCGCCTTCGGTGGATCTTTCCACGTGGGTTGCTCTGGTCTTCTGCTGCAGTGCCACCAGAGGTGCCCCTGCGTGCCACCAGAGGTGCCCCTGCACCAGAGGGACGAGCAAGCAGCGACAGGAATGCGGCCGAGGAGGCCGCTAGCTGTCGAGCCACAGGGCCAGCAGCCACGCAGGTGCTGTGCAGTTCAGCACGCCTCGCGTATCCCCACCAGCTTCGGGCTTCCATCCATCATCGCCGCTGGGTCCCTCTTGCTTCGGCTTCCTGCCCAGCCCCTACTTCGTGTTCCTGGTGCTGCTCTGTGATGCCTTCGCGCAATGTTGGCCGCGCTGAGTTCCGCCCCGCGCCTGGCGTTGCTCGCTGCTCCGTTTTTCTTTTAGCTGGTGGCACAGCCTGCCCGTGTTCGCCTGGCGTTCGACCCGCTTCGCGCGCCCGCGTACAACAAAAAAACACCAGCCCGTTCAGAAACCATGTCCATGAGAACTGACGGAAAAAGGGACGAAGAGACACATCTAGCGAAACAGAGCGGGAAGCCAGGATGAGCAGATATCTTTGGGAGCCAGGGGGTGGCTTTGGAGGGCCTCTTTGGGCCATCCCTGGGGCCAAAGGGATGGCGAGGAGAGGAGGAGGAAGAGGAGGAGGAGGAGGAGGAGGAGGAGGAGGAGGAGGAGGAGGAGGAGGAGGGGGAGGGGGAGGGGGAGGGGGAGGGGGAGGGGGGGGGGAGGGGGAGGGGGAGGGGGGGGAGGAGGCAAACTGCTTCTTGGGGCCTCCGTGGAACGCTTAATGGGGTCTCTTGGGCGCTTTCGGAGCCGTTTGAGGGCCCTGTTGAGCTCTTGTGGGGTTCTCCTGGGAGCCGTGGAAGGCCTCCTGGGGTTATCTTGGAGGCCGTCGATCAAAAGGGGGGGGTCCATGATTTGCCTCCCCCCGTTCTGGGGCCCTCAAATCATCTGTCAGGGCCCTCTTGGGGCACTCTTAGGGCCGGGTGGGCAGCCTCTTGCGCCCTTCGCTCTCTTGGGCCATCTTGGGGCCATTTTGCGACTTCAACAGCGCATCGGAAGCGACAAGGCGAGAAGGCAAACTCATCGAGTTTCTGTTGGGTGTTTGAAAGATTTTGGCCTTTCGGGCGTGGGGGGGGCCTTCGGGGGCTCCAAGAACACTTGGAGCCGTCTTGGAGCGGTCATCGAGGCCTCTTGGAGCATGTTGGAAGCCATCTTGTGCCATCGTCGGCTATCTTGAGCTATCTTGGAGGCCATCTTGGAGCATCGGACGCCCTCTTGGAGCCATCTTGGGCGCCCTGACCGCTCGGGTACCCTCCCCGAAGGGCAGACTTTTTTGGCAGGGGAAATGCAGATATGACAGAGCGTTGTTCTGCCGCCACTGGCAAGCCCCCCCCCTCCCTTGTTCGAGTTGGGGGGGTGGGGGGAGGGAAAACAGCTTCCCCTGAACCAGCGGAGGGGAAGGAGGGCGAACACCTCCCTCCCCTCCTGGTTCGAACCGGGGGGGGCGTGGCGGGGTTGCGAGCCACCGTCCCCCCTCGGTTGAGATGGGGGGGGGAGGGGGGGAACGCCATTGCAGCTGGATCCAACCCCAGCTGTTACTTTCTAGTAGAGGTGGACATAGCCTTTCTGTACAATTCTGTGAGAGCTGGACTGAGCACAAGTAGGGCTGCATTTCAGCTGGACCAAGCTCTCATAGGGCTTTATTTGAGCTGCATCGGGCCAGTAGGATGCATTCGAGTTGACTCGATCACTGGCAGGATCGATCCTACTGGAACTGGATCCAGCCCATAGTAGAGTATTATTAAGGACGGATCGAGCCCTCGTAGGATTCTACTAGAGCCACTATTCGATATCGAGCCATTGTAGTATCCCATTAGAACTGTATCCAGCCCTAGTAGGATCTTATTAGAGCTCGATCCAGCCCTAGTGGCAGGATTCGATGAGAGCCAGTTCGCACCGCCCCCCCGCCCCCCCTGGTTCGAGCCGGAAGGTGGGGGTTCTGCGCCTGCCCTTCCCCCCCTTCTGGTTTCCGGGGAGGGGGGGTCTCCCGCCATCCCCCCTGTTCTCCCGCTCCCGGTTCTGGGGGGGAGGGGGGGGGGGGTCCCCCCCCCGCCTCTGGTTTCCTGGAGGGGTGGTGGAGTTTTCAGTTTTCTCCTAGATCGCGCTCCATCAAAGATATCGTTAGACCACCTATTCCCAGAGGACTGGTGGGATGTCCGCTCGTCTTGGGCATTCCTGGACTGTCTGACGCCGCCGGAAGCCGTCTTGGGGGCCTCTCCGGGCCGACGTGGGGCCCTCCTGGGGCGCTTCAGGGCCGTCTTGGAGGCCGTCCTGGGCGTCGCGGAGGTCTCCTTGGGGCGCTCCTGAGGGCCACCATTGGAGCGACCCGCACCCCGCACCTGCGGCGAGCCCGCTCCCGTGTTGCGGCAGTCCGGGGGGGGCCGGCCTGGCCCTTTGGCCCCATTCCGTCTTGCGGGGCCCCCGCCGGGGGCCTCCGCAGGGGGAGCTCCTTGGGGAGCCCTCCCGCGCGGGGCCCTCGCGAGGCCGGTGGGCCTCTTGGCTGACCCGCTGCCCTCGGCCTGCCCGTCGGCATACACGCGCTGACTCCCGGACCGGATCGGGCGCTCGCAAGCACGGATCAGGGGGCGTGGATGAGCGACGGGCCCCGCTTCCATGGGAAATCGCAGATTTCCGCCGCCGAGCGAGGCGGCACCGGCCGCATTTTGGGGAGAGCACCTCCCCCGATCCATGGATTTGGCGACCGCGCGCTCAATCCATGGATCGCTGATCCATGTTTATGCGCCCCCGAGTGGAGACTGGTAAATCCTCCACCATCGTCCATCATTCCTCGTTGCCGCCTTTACCGACAGATGCTCGGGAGGGGATCGGCCATTGGGCCAAGTCTTCTCCCACGCACTGGCTGCCCCGACTCCAGACCCAGACAACAGAGAGGTGGAGGAGGAGGAGAAGCAGGAGGAGGAGGAGGAGGAGGAGGAGGAGGAGGAATGATTGAGAACAGTTAGAAGCATATTTCGCTACCTGTACGTCTTCCGACACCCCAGCGGCACCGGCGTCTTGAGTATAGGACACTGATGTTTCCGGCTCTTCTTGCGAGGTCATGGCCTCGCACGCTCCGCCCTTCAGGGGCCTGGGAGGATGCCCGCATGAGCGTTTCGTTATGTTTCCTCCTCCTCCTCCTCCTCCTCCTCCTCCTCCTCCCTCCCCAAATGTGGATTACGCACGTTATAACGTTACCCGGACCTCGGTAACACCGAACCCAGCCCGCACGGACTGGGCGTGACACGTGCGTTTTGGGGACGCGTTTGTCTCGGAATCATGCTGCGGCTTATGCGTGGGCCACATCTTTGATTGAAAAAGTTGATGTCGCCCAGGCGCCAGCGCTTTCCTTCATCGAGCATGTCGTTCTCGCCTGTGCGTGGGTTGCATGTCTGATCAGCAATGTTGCTGTCGCCTAGGCGCCGGCGACATCCTTCATTGACCATGCCGTTCTCGCCTGTGCGTGGGCCACATGTTTGATTGAAAATGATGCTGTCGCGCAGGCGGTGGCGAGATCCTTCATTGAACGTGTCGTTCTCGCCTTGGCGCTGGCCAAATCTCTGATTGAAAATGGTGCTGTTGCTTGGGCGCCAGTGACATCCTTCAGTGGGCATGTCGTTCTCGCCTTGGCGTCGGCCACATCTTTGATTGAAAATTGTGTTGCCGCCTAGACGCCGGCGACATCCTTCATTGAGCATGTCTTTCTCGCTTGGCGCCAGCCACATCTCTGATTAAGAGTGTTGCTGTCGCCCAGGCGCCAGCGACATCCTTTCAGTGAGCATGTCGTTTTCGCCTGTGCGTGGTCCACATGCGTGATTGACAATGTTGCTGTCGCCAAGGAGGTGGAGACATCCTTCATGGAGCGTGTCGTTCTCGCTTTGGCGCTGGCCACATCTCTGATTGAAAGTCGTGCTGTTGCCCAGGCGCCAGCGACATCCTTCATTGAGCATGTCGGTCTCGCTTTGGCGCTAGCCACATCTCTGATTGAGAATTGCGTTTTTGCCTGGGCGCAGGCCGCGCGCATGATTGCGATTGTTGCTCTCGCCTCAGCGCCTAGGCGCGGGCAGCGGTCTCGATTCGGATTACTGCTCTCGCCAGTCGAAAATATGATAGCGAATGCTGTCATCGCCTCTGCCGCTTCGGCGCCGGCCGCACCCTTGATTGGGAATGCCGTTCCCACCTTGATTGTAGATTGTACCATCGTTGGCCCCCCCACATCTTGATTGCTGACTCCGTTCTCGCCACAGGGGAGGTCGCAGCCTCACAAGCCTGTGGGCTGCGCAAGCTTCTGGAGCGTGGCCCCATCCGCGGCCTGTTTGGCGCCACGGTTCCGCTTGGCTTTTTTGGCGTTGTGCTACTGGTTATCGTAGTGCTTCTCACGTTGGTGCTGCTGGTCCCGCTGGCAGTGCCGCGCATGGTGCTGCTGCTGCTGCTTTCCGTCGTGCTGGTCGCAGTGGTATTGCTTCAAGTGATGCGGTCCTCACAAGGGGTGCTCCTCGTTGCGCTTGTGCTGGTGCACGTAATGTTGCTGTTTCTCGTCGGGCTTGTCGCACTGGTGCTGCTGGTTGAGCTGGTAGTGCTACTCGTTGTGCTGCGGCTGCCTTTCGTGCTGGTCACACTGGTGCCGCTGGAGGCGCTGGTGCTGCTGCTTCGCTTAGTGTTGCTGACTGGTGATGCTCGTCCAATTAGTATCGTTTGTTGCGCTTGTGCTGGTGCGCGTAGTGTTGCTGTGTCCCGTCTTGCTGGTCACATTGGGGTTGGTGGTGGCGTCGGTAGTGTTGCGCGGGATGCTGCTGCTTCCCGTCGTGCTGGTCACACTGGTGCTGCTTGTGGCGGTCGTGCTGCCGCGTTTGGCGCTGCTGCTTCCAGTCGTGCTGGTCACAGTGGTACTGCTGGTTGCGCTTGTGTTGCTTGTGCTGCTGGTCACGCTGGTGTCGGTACTTTCGCTCATGTTGCTGCGCGTGCTGCTGCTGTTTTTTGTTGTGTTGGTTGCGCTGGTGCTGCTGGTGTATTGCACTGCTGCTGGTGGTGCTCGTGGTTCCGCTGGTGGTGCTGCTGCTGGTGGCGCTGGTGCTGCTGCCCGTCGTGGTGCTAGCCTCTGTCGCGCTACTCACAGAGGCAGTGCTGGTCGCGCTGGGGCGGCTGCGACTGGTGCTGTTCCTATCGTGCGGGTCACAATGTAACTGCTTGTTGCTCGCGCTGCTTTTGCTGCATGTCCCGACGCGTGACGGCCCGCAGCCGCCTCAGCGGGTACTGGCGACGCAAGCAGCGAGGCGGCCGCCGGACGCCCCCTTTCACAGCGGCGGCCGGAGTGCGCTGCCCAGGGGCCGCTGCTGTCCTAGTGAAGCGCCGCTGCTGGCCGCGCAAGGCGTCAGTGCAAAGCGCTGGAACTGCTGGCCGGGCTGGGCGCAGGCAGGCGGCGGGCGCTGACGGCGAGCCCACAACGAGCCACGACGCCGTCCTCGCGCTCGCCGTGGCGCTCCCGGGTGGCGCTGCTATTATGGGCCCCGGATGGCGCAAGTTTTCCCGGTGGGAGCGACCGTCCCGCGGGTTTGGGCCGAGCAGCAGTGGCTCCCAGGGGTGGGGTTTGCATTGGCTCCCAGCCAAGCTTCGCGCGGAAGGACCGCGCACCTCTGGTTTGGGGCGCCCGTGGTGCCCAGCGCAAAATCGAACGATTTGGGCCGTGACGCTTTGCGCTGGAGTGCGGACGCCTGCTCCCCCGACGGTCTGGCCAGCGGGGGGATGGGGGTGCTCGCGGAGTCCAGCGCGAATCGCCTGGCGTTGCCGATTCCCGTCGTGTTCGTTCTGGCAAATTGTCGGTTGCGTTTGTATTGTTCCGTGCGGTGCTGCTGCTCCCGTCGTGTCGGTCACAGGGATGTTTCTGGTGGCGCGGACGGCGCGGGGCGGAACTCGCGCGCGAGGGCGCGGTGATCGTGGCGGAGCTGAGCACGGGTCTGGCGTCTTGCTTGGACCAGGATGAAGAAATTGAGCCGAGCGCATGCTCCAGTGTTTGCCGCAGCCCGCGGCGTAGCGAGCCCCCGCCATGGGCGCCTTCTTCGGCGCCCGCTGAGGCGGTTCGGCCCTTCGGCGCCGCCGCTGGCGCGTCCTTTTCCAGCGCGCGTTTGCGTGCGCGGTAAATTACAGCGCATCGCGTTTACTTGATTGTGCCCCTTTCTTCCTGTCTCCAAAATATGCATCGGGCGCCTTCCCCCTTGGGCTGATGCGCCCCCATTGTCCTTTGTTTTCCACCTTGTCTTGACCCCCCAGTCGTCCAGGCTGTCGCGGTAACCAGAACGGGCAATCAGCACCACCTTACAGCCACAAGCAGCAACAACACCCAACAACAACAAGCGTTACCAGCAGAGCGCAACAGCGGCAGCAAGCAGCAGCATGCAGTAGCAGGCACGCAGCATCGACAGCGCCAAACCGCATCAATCAGCAGCGCAACGGCGATCTCCAGCCAGCAGCGGCAGTGACTAAGTTAGCAGCACGTATAGATAGAGTTTCAGCAGTTTCAGCAATGAGCACCAATCATCAGGAAACTGCAGCGAGCGGACGGGCAAGCGATGAAGCCAGCAAAGCAGACACTAGGCAGTCCGCATCAACAAAAATATCTTGTCACCACGCGAGCAACCACGCAAGCAGGTCATCAGGCGAGCAGAACAGCTGGTGAGCGAGACTTAATACGGTTAATGTTTTGTGGACGGTAGCCCACGGGTGGGCCGCAGTCGAGGCTCAAGAGACGGGGGAAATTGCAAACGGGGACAGCCAGAAAGCCGGATCTTGCAGGGTCCTGCATATCCAGGGGTGCACTGACCTGGGCTTGCGCACGGGATTCTGCAAGGCCTGACTGTTTTGGGTTTGCATTGACCCGGGTCAGTGCGTCCCCGACACAGTCACTTACAGTGCTGCGATCAGCGCGTGCGAGAAAGGCAAAGAGTGGCAGCGGGCTTTGGCGCTGCTCGGGGAGATGCGGGAGGCGAAGGTGGATCCCAGCGTTGTCAGCTACAGCGCGGCGATCACCGCGTGTGATAAAGGCGAGCAGTGGCAGCAGGCTCTGGCATTGTTACTTGAAATGCGGGAGGCGAAACTGGATCCCAACGTCTTCACCTACAACGCCGGGATCAACGCTTGCGGGAACGGCGGGGAATGGCAGTGGGCAGTGGCGCTGCTCGGCGAGATGCGGGCGGCGAAGGTGGAACGCGACTATATCACTTACAACACTGGGATCAACGCGTGCAAGAAGGGTGAGCAGTGGCAGCTGGCGGTATCGCTGGCCATAAGTCTGCGTATCGCTGGTCCTCGAGATGAAGGAGGCGTGATTGATCCCACCGTCTTCATTTGAAACGATAGAGTCAGCGCGCGCAAGAGGGGTGAGCAGTGGCAGAAGGTCTTGGCGTTGCTTAGATGCTTCACGCGAAGTCGGGAATCCAACGTTATCTCCTCGAGTTGTTCCACCAGCGTGTGCAAGAAGGGCCGGCAGCGGCAGCAGGTCTCGGCGCTGCGCACCGAGATGTTGGAGGCGAAGGCGGCGTCCGAGCCTCAGCGGCAAGACCTACCGTCGCAACTGGCACCTCGGCCTAGGCAGCGCGCAGTTCTAGTCATTTCCAGGCCATTTCCGCCCGGCGCCACCGCAGCACGCGCCCCTTCCGGACACCAGCGGGCGGGGCTAAGACAGCGATAGATCGTTCCGCAGTGTTCGAGAACGCTCTTCGACAAACACTGCGCCGCATACCAGAGATCCCCGATGTGTCCCCGTCCGATGTTGTCCCCGTCCTGGCCTGCTGCTCGGGGGGGAATGTTGCTTGTGCCCGCCCAGACTGTGGGCACGTTTCGAGCGCGATTCGCTCGTTTGGCGTCGCCGACGACTCTCTTCTGATCGCGTGCTGAGAGCCGCCCAGGGGCGGTGCACTTTCTCGCTGGCGCCCATGTCGCGGAGACGTCCTTCGAGTAGGGGATCGACCACATGATGATTCTGCCCCAAAGCTGTTTCCCCCGTCGAATCTACGAGCAATATGTGGAGAAGCTGCGTAGATCTGCTGAGCATGCTGACGTTTTTCGTAGACTCGGCGAACAACTCAGCTCTGGGGTAACTCCATTCTGTACGGTAGGTCCAGGTCGTGTCGACCTGCGGCGACCCCGCCGCCGGCGTTCAGCGTCGAACGCCGCCAGCGACCCAGAATCGGTCGTTGTCGAACGATCGAGCGTTGCGGGAACGACCTATCGTTCAAGGTTGAACGATCCCCGCGGTGTCAGGAACGAACGAAGGAACGCCGGGGTCGACGCGACGCGAATTTGCCGTACTGTCAACCCGTATCATAAGGATGCGCCATGTTGGCGTTTTTCGAGCGAGGTTGGCAAGCGAACGTCGCTAAGGATGGGCCGAAGGGGCAAGGATGCAAGGGGCACCCTCGGGGAGGCTGCCCAACCCTCCCATGCGGGCAGACTGTAGTCGATCCCCTGCTCGAGCCTCCCGGCCTCGTCCCACCACTGCCTTTCTGTTGGGCGGGCCCGCGTGGCGGCTGCAGGGCAGCCGCGCGCCACGCGTGGAGGCCTGCGCCCCCCGTGTTTGAGCAGGGGCCGACCGTACCGGCATTCCGATAGGCCTACCGCGAAATGTTTTGGGAGCCCAGAACTGTCTTAAGAGCAGGAGCAGTGCTCTTAGAACACGAGCCCGATATGTTAGGACGAGACAGTCCCAGCCAGAAAGGTTCTAAGAACATGCCGTGCAAACCACAAAAGGTCCTTAGAACATTCTGCGGTTGGCCTACAGGCGAGCCAGGACGCTTCGCAGCTGCATGACCCTTCGCCGCCTGCCGCCTCCACGGCTGCCCCCCGCGCGCACCCCAGGCCGCGCGCCGCCGCCCGCTCCCGTCCTCTCGGAAGGACCCCTGGGATGCGGCAGGGCTGCATGCCGAGCCCCCCGTCCTCCTCCTCCTCCTCCTCCTCCTCCTCCTCCGCCTCCTCCTCCTCCTACTCCTCCTCCTCCGTGGCCATTTTGGCTCAAGCTGTCGGGCCCGAATGGCCCCTACAGCCCAGCAGGGAGTCGGGGTTTCACCCCTCGATTTCGGTACGCCCCCCACCGCCCTGCGCGCGATGCCTGCCGCGGGCGATGCTGACCTGGAGCCGGCCAGGAACCCCTCCCCGCGGCGCTCCCGCTCGCGGCGCCGCCGCGACCCCGCAGCCTTGCAGCCGCTGGCCCCGCCGCCCCCGCGAGGGGGCGTTCTCCTCGCTCCCCTAGCGGGGAGAACCTAGAGCCTCTTGAAGAGGCCCCGCCGTTCGGCGTCGGGAAGGAACTCCGAGGACCTGCTCTGTGCCTTTAGCCCGCAGGGTGTCGCGGTGAAGGAGCTTCTTAGGGTCGCTGGTCTTCGTGAGGATGCTGGCCTCCGCGGGGCGTGGCAGTTCAAGTTTGCGACCCGCGCGATCCTCGTGACGGCGTGCCGTGACCCGCACTCTTGAGCTAGATCACTGGGCTTTCCTGCTGGTTTCCGCACTCCGGGCCATCGCCCGCAGGGCGCGGGCCTGCGGTGCCAAGCAGCGCGGGGACCGTTTGGTGTCCTCCGACTCAGACTGCGAGGTTTCCGCTTCGGTGAACGTGTGCAACGGGCTGAAGCGCTACGAGCCCAACGGCCTGCCAGTGGAGCACCTGCTTCAGGCGGCGTTCCTTCAGCGGCTGCTCTGGCGCAGCCACCGCAAGGCTGGCCACGGGCGGCCCCCGTGGGTCACCGGCGAGCTGCAGAAGGACTTCGAGCCGTTGAAGAGGACGTCGGACGCCACTCTGCGCCCGCCGCAAAAGGGTCAGGCGTCCCAGTCGTTTCCCAACTTCACCAGCTGCTGGTGGACCGGGGCGCCGTCCCAGCTGGCGCTCCAGGCGGACCTCGACAGCGAGTCCGTCACCTTCGAGCGGTTGCTGCGGCGCTACTTCGACCTGTGCCGCATGGCGTAGGAGCTCGGGGTCACGGTTGCATACGAGTGCGACCGCCAGGAATGGCTCCGCTACGGCGCACAGATCGAGAACAAGGACCCCGTCGGTGGACCCGGACGCCAGCTTCGAGAAGATCGACCACGGCCTGCGCGCCGACGTCAAGGAGCAGAGCAACGGCGAAGCAGGCCGGCGACAGCTCGGGCCGCGGTGGCTGGGGCGCCGGCAGGGGCCCGCAGGGCCACGCGAGCCAGCCAGCGCGCGGACACGCGGCGTTGACGCCGCCGCCGCCCCCGGCCCCGGCGCGCGGGCCCCCGCGCTTGCGGGCCGACCCGAAGGGAGACGACAAGGGGAGGCGTGCGCCCGCAGGGCGCGGCGACGCAGATCGCAGCGCAGCCCGTGAAGCAGGAGCGCGCGTTGCGCGCGAGAGCGACGGGGGCCGTAGGCCATCGGATAGTTCTGCGTAATAATGCTCTGCGCCGCAGGCGCGTTTTCAAGGTGAACAAGTGCGCCCCTCCTTGCCTCTCCCTCTCCCTCTGCCTGCCCCTCCTCGTCTTTCGCGCCGTCCTCCTCTCCCCGCAGGGGTCAGCCCGCAGGGCAGGTTTTTGAACGGCAATACAGATTGCCGCGCCCCTTTGTTCCGATCTTGGCCAGGCCGTGGCAGGGCCCAGGATCGGTGATGATTCGTCTGCGGCGAGCGAGGGGAGAGGGCCCCGTCGGCGGCGAGAAGGCCTCCTGCTGTCGGCGGCGAGCAGGCCTTCTCAGAAGGCGGCGGGTCTTCTGAGAAGCCGTGGCGCCCTGTGAGAGGTTTCCTGTGAATTCGGGGAAGGCTCAGCAAACTTCTCAGGATGCCGGGGGACTTCCGAGCCTTCTGAGAAGGTCCGCCCCGTCTCGCTTCCCCACCCTGGGCGCGTCGCCGATCTTATCCCGTTGTCCCTCCCTGCTCATCTCTCTTTAGATTGGCAGGAGAATTGGCCGCAGGACAAGAGCATTTCTTGCTTTGCTTCGAACCTTGCCGCCGAGCTCTTTCGTCGTGGCTGCAGTGGGGGGGGGCGTTTCCTCCCTCCTCATCTTCCTCGCTCCTCGCCCTGCTCCTCCTCCTTTTCCCCTTCAGTCAGTCCGCATTGTACGGATGAGCATCTTTCCAAGGGTGTCCTTGCATTCTTCCCCCTCGGCCCATGCTTGGCCGCTTTCGCTGGCCGCGCCCCGCTGGCAAAGTGTCGGCATGGCCATCGCAAGGCCTCTGCATCCCTACGGTGCGTCCTGATTATGCGGGTTGACTGCTCGGCTTCCTCGCTCCTTGTCCTGCGCCTTTTCCCGTGCCCCTTCTCTTCTCCTCGCGGTCCTTCAGGTTCCTCCTTCCCGCCCTCCTCCTTCCCTCCCTTCTGTTGCATCTTCGGGGGACCTCGCCTGTCTTCAAAATTGGTATCTTCTTTTGTGCCCGACGCGGGTTCGATGTGGATTCGACGCGGATGTGGCGTGGATTCGACGTGGATTCGACGCAGATTCGACGAGTCCGACGTGGATTCGACATGGAGTCGACGCGGATAGAGGCACGACGGGACAGAAAAGGTCCCCGGAAGATGCAACACAGCCTCTTTCCCTCCCTCTTCGTCCTGCCTCCCTCCCTCCTCGTCCTGCCTCCCTCCCTCCTCGTCCTGTTCCTCCCCTCACTCTTCGCCTCCCTCCCTCCCTCCTCCTCTCCCTCCCTCCCTCCTCGTCCTGCTCCTCCCCTCCCCTCACTCCCTCCCCCCCTCCTCGTCCTGCTCCTCCCCTCCCTCCTTGCAGCGGCCGCCCGCCGGAGCGCTCGGCGGGCGGTGGCTTGCCGCCCGCGCTTCTTGGACCCAGAGGGGAGGGCGGCACGGCAGGGCTCGACCTGCCCCGTGCTCTGGCGGATGTCTTGGGCCGTTTTCGTACCGCTCTTCTCGAAGAGGGAAAAACGGCATAAACATAATTTCCTTTTCCTCCCCGTCCTCCTCTTCGTCCTCCTCCTCCTCCCCGTCCTCCTCCTCCTCCTCCTCCTCCTTTCCCCCTCCTCTCTTCCTCCTCCTCCTCCTCCTCCTCCTCCTCCTCCTCCTCCTCCTCCTCCTCCTCCTCCTCCTGAAGTTCTGGGCCCAAGTCAGCCTCCCTCGCCCGCGTTGGCTAAACAGGCGATGGGAGCCTGGACCGCACGAGCGCGCGCAACGGCCAGGCTGCTGTCGGCCTAGGCTGCATCGGGCCAGGGCTCGCAGCAACTTGGAGGGGGTGTCAGGGGCCATGCTGCTTAGAGTCGTTGGTGCTCATCGTATTTTGCCAGGACCGGTATCGGAGTGCCACTGTTGGGATCGCCACGCCGTTATTCATCGGGTGGTGCTGAACCCGGGTCCTACACCAGCAGGCATGGTGCTGGAACTTGGTGCCATCAGCTACGGTGCTGAAATCTC